TCGTGGTACAAAACATCGTCGTCGAAAATAAAGCGGTTCAAAAACTTCGCAGTTTAAAAACATCGCCGTCGAAAATATCGTGGTAAAAAATAAAGTATCTACAAATCATCGCATGACGATAACATCGCAGACATGCTTTTTTCAGGCTTTAATAACTGTAAATGGATATTCCCATAATGATTTGTGAGCGCAAGATGTAAAGAAGGATAATTTTTACTTTCATATTTTTATTAAATATTAAATTTTTGCTGAAAAAATAAGAAAGAAACTTAAGCATAGAAAATTAATGCAACTTATAGCACTTAATAGAATTTTAAACCGACATAGTTAACTAACAAAGACCATTAATAAATCATTTTTTATAAAGTTTTTACTGGTAATTTTTCATAAAAAGTATAATCTATTAAGTTGCATTTAATTTTCTATGCTTAAGTTTCCTTCTTATTTTTTCAGCAAAAATTTATTAGTTAATAAAAAAATGAAAAAAAGTAAAAATTATCCTTCCTTACATCACTTGCGCTCACAAATCATTATGGGAATATCCATTTACAGTTATTAAAGCCTGAAAAAAGCATGTCTGCGATGTTATCGTCATGCGATGATTTGTAGATACTTTATTTTTTACCGCGATATTTTCGACGGCGATGTTTTTAAACTGCGAAGTTTTTGAACCGCTTTACTTTCGACGACGATGTTTTGTACCACGATGTTTTAGAACTGCGATGTTTTCGCTTTGCGATGTTTTCTCCCACGATGTTTTGTAGCACGACGTTTTCGCCTTGCGTTGTTTTCTCCGCGACGTTTTCGTCCGCGATATTTTTGCCGCGATGTTTTCGGCTGTAACCGTCTTTCCAGCTAGCATATGTCAGCAACATCTTGCTCTCACTTTAGTTTTTAGGGGATGCATTGCTTGAGACATTGATTGTTTCTAGTTAGTTCGTGTAGACGTGAGTAAATTTTTAATTTTATTTTACAGTATTCCCCATTAGTTAGAAAACATTTAGGATATAGTTTTGAGCACATCGAATTCTCAGTTGAATTGATAACTAAATTCTACAGAGCAAAAGGAAAGGAGAGGTATAAGCTTGGGTTATAAATTCCTATTCGTAGATGATAAATTTCAAAATTTTTATCTGACGAAAATTAAATTAATAAACAACCCCTAAAGTATCTTTTCTTCATTCCTTGTCTCGAGTGAAAATGGCTTAGGTTACAAAATTCTAATAATTTTTCAGAGCTAATTTTATCCATAGAAATATATACCCCCAAAGGGCATTTTGCCCTTCTGGGCTAAATGCAATGTTTGTTGGGTGCTGTAAGTTGGAGCGCCCAACAAAAGTAATAACTATTGTTAAATATGTTTATCTATAATAAGGTTGAAAAGATAAACAACCAAAATAGGTTGCTGTAGCAACAATCAGAATAACATGACTGACCTGTAGTGCCCATTGAGGGGTGAATAATTTTTATAATTATTTCATATATTATATATATTTATAAAACAGGTATATATATAATTATTATATATAATTTATAAAACAGGTGGAATAATTTTTATAATTATTTCGCCTGCTTCACCCCTCAATAATTTTATAATTATTTATATTAATAATAAATAAATCATTTTATTATCTGTGTATGAGCTATACACAAATTCAAGTTCATCAAAAACAACCACTTCCTTCATGGTGCTTCGATTTTTTTGCAAAAGAGTGTAGATTTGAAAAGTACGTACAATCGCCTGGTGACGTTCTAATTCAGTTTCTGGCGCTTGAATTTAAAACTTCCGAAGTCAAATTTAAAGGAATATGATTTAGCCCCTAGAACATGGGTTGCATTCTGGGGAAAATTTTCTCGCATCCATGTTCATGATAACATACGAGACAAAGATAAATTCCAATATTTACTTTCTTCATTGAAACAGAAAAGCAAGAGATATCGTGGAAAGTTATCCACCTTATAAAAATAATTATATTAAAGCTGTTGAGTATCTTAAATCGAGAATTGATTTGTGATCCTCTAACAAGTTTATGTATGATATCTTTGAGCGTTAATGAGTAACAGGTGTAGTGTGAAGTTGTTAGAACTTTATGATAAACTAGAATCATATTTAAGAGGTTTACAAACACTTGGAGTAACTACGCAAAACTAAGCTAAACTAAGCTGCTATGCTATATGCTGTAGTAGAATCGTGTTTACCTGCTGATGTTCTGAAAGCTTGGGACAAGCATAGACTCAACAGTGAAATTAATGTTGGAGAATCTGTGTTTTTAACCAAAGAAAAATTACTAGAAGTTTTAATGTCATTTTTGCAACATGGAGTTGAGGGTGAAGAGCATAGAATTTTAGCAGAACATGCTTTTGGAAATACAGTGAAAAGTAAGAAAGATGGTAACCCGCTGGTTTCAAATTGCGAGCCAATAGCATCTGCTTTAATAAACTGCTTACCCCCAATCAGAAACTTAGTTGCATCTTTTATGAGCGTAATCTCTCTAGCCAAGATTGTAATAAAGCTGCAACTTTAAGTAAAGAAAGAGAGAAAATCAATGGTTCTGAGGAAAAAAATATTTAGTTTGTTTGAAACCTAAACATTTGGCAAAAACATTTGGCGAAGTAATGTAAGGTGCATTGTATGTTATAGACGTCATTATCCAGTACTTTGTCCCGATTTGAAAACAAAATCAACTGAATTTCCAAGCAAAGAAAATAAGTCAGAGGTAAAATATTCTGCTACATTATTTACTTTAGGGCCATCTTTACATGAAATCTACTTAAAATTTTAATACTACGCTTACATCACAAGAATAAATATCTGAATATTAGAGCACTTACTGATGATGGGTCTCACAGATCATATATAGAAAAGAGTTTAGTTAAGGATCTCAAGTTAAATCCTGTAGAAAAAGAAACTGTATGCCAAGGATTATTTGGTGGTATCACAACACCACTGAAAGAAGATGGGAGGATTTAATGTTTTCATAGAAAGTGCTGAGGGAAGATATTCAACAGAACTTTCATTTTTAGATCAATTTAAGATTTGCTTAAGTTTACCTAGGATTATAGATAAAAATTTAATACCACAACTATCATCAAAGGGAATTCTGCTATCCGACGTTGGGAACGACTTACCTCCAATTAGACTACTTATTGGTGCAAATACTATAGGAAGCCTTCTAATTGGAAGAACTGAAGTGTTGAAAAATGGATTATCCGTTGTCGAAACAAAATTGGGTTGGACTATCCTAGGGTTTGGTCGAAAACGAGACTTTTTTAACACAGTATCTTTATACTTACAAAATCTTCAGTTGGAAAAACAGTGGGACTTGGAATCATTGGATATAACTGATCAAATTCAAAAGAGAACTAGAAAGGCTTTAGACCACGAAACACTTCTTCACTTTAAAGAGACTGTTAAGATCAGTAAGGAACAGCGATATGAAATCTCTTTACCGTGGTTAGTGGGACATCTTCCTCTGTACAATAACTATGATAAAGCTGTATCAAGCCTCATGCAAATAACTAAACGTTTGCTTAAAAAAAAAAATTACTTTGAAGAGTATGATGTCATTTTTTTTTTCATTGAAGGAGTGAGGGTATAATAGAAGAAGTTGAACCAGCTGGAAGGCACTTAAACATTATATTACTTGCAGCATAGATTAGAGATTAAGTTGTCCAGCGCAACCACGAAAATTCGTCCAGTGTTTGATGCTTCATCAAAGACGTCTGGTGGTGCATCATTAAATGATTGCTTAAATACTGGACTAAGTCTAATTAAAAAAATTCCTCCACTTCTTAACAAATTCAGTATAGATGCTTTAGGAGGCACAGCAGATATTAAACAAGCGTTTCTGCAAATTAATGTTCATCCAGAAGACAGAAATGTATTAAGATTTCTCTGGTGGGCAGATAAATAAGATTTCTCTGGTGGGCAGATAAATAAGATTTCTCTGGTGGGCAGATAAAGAAAAATCATCAATCAAAGAAAATCGTGTTGTCTTTGGAATGACTTCAAACCCATTTCTGTTAAATTCATAGACCATCATTTGTAGTGTCAGCAGTTTCAAACCCCAGAACTGCAATCCAACAGGGAAAACACTTAAGGAAGTATTCTACATCTACAACCTAATCACAAGTGTAAAAAATAAAGATGAATATGGTTGTTTCGATTTACGTGGCTGGACATGCACAGGAGATGAAGATGAAGAGGATCATTCTGTTATTGGTTTAAAGTGGAATACAAAGACTGACGAACTTAAATGCGCTTTTCCCATGGCAATGGAACATTGAGAAGCTATTGGTACTAAAAGAAAGTTACTGTCAGTAGTTAATAGCATTTACGATCCAGTTAGTTTTACATCTGCTATGCTCTTTCTTAAGTTGCTCCTGCAAGAAACTTGAGAAAGGAAAATAAGTTGAGATGGCCTCCTTCCTAAAGAAGATGCAACTTTACACTTGTTTTTAGATGCATCATTTAATGCTTATGATTGCTGTGCATATCTGCAGTGCAAAGAAAATTCAGAAGTATTTGTCGGTTTAGTTGCTGCTAAATGAAAAGTTGCAGCAATAAATCGTCCAACTAGTTCCCCGATTGGAATTGTTAGGAGGTTTGCTTGCTGCTCGTTTAGCCCAAACTATAAAGCTGCACTAAACTTTCCCCTTAAAACCTTCTTTTGGACAGATTCTATGGTGGTACTAGCTTGGATTTTGAATAAAGAATCCTGGAACACTTTTGTTGGAAACAGAGTCAAAGAAATCAGAGAACAGCAGATATGGAAAGTTAGAGATATATTCCAAAAGAGCTTAACCCTGCCGACCTTCCATTTCGATTATGTACTTGGAATTAACTGTCATAAAATACACAATTCAAATTTTAAAAACTCCATGCATGTACAATATTAGATTGTATACCACAATAAATATCCTTTTACCTCTTTCTGAAAGTATCTAAATTTGAGAGTTCTTAAGAACTATGAAAAATTAACAAAAAGACACAACACAGATTTAAAATATTTGGTAATGTTTATTAATTTTTTTGTCAGTCAACTTGTTTATTAAAAATAAGTAAAGGACGGCTTTGTGATCAGTTATGCACAATACACTACCAATCACATTACACACACACACACACACACACACACACTTTCTCTGTCTCATATTTTTTTACATACATATACATCTAAATTAGGTACATTTAAAAATGCTGCAGTGCAATTACATAAAAGATGTTTAACTAGATAACTGATGTCAAAGCATACGAAATTTTGTGTTCCTACTAGTATTTTTCACAATGCTGTTTTAAGTTTGCAGAACAATCACAGGCAAAACTAACTAATTCAGATGCAAACTAAGACAATTAATAAACACTACTGTTTTTTTACTGAATATAACTGTACAAAAATTGGTGAAGATTTTATACACTGTATCACTAAAGTCCAATGTAATAATATCTGTCAAGATGCCAGATTTCAAACAAGGTTCATATGAATTAATTTCATTTGTTTCATAAAACATAACATGTGACAATACTGATTTTATTATCATATTAAAATGGTGATATGTGAATAAGTTGTGCAAAAGTGTTCAGAAAATACAGAAGTACAATGGTTTTTATCTACACTTAATAATTACATTTTACTGATACCTTTCTTCTAAAATTGTCTGGAATAGTCAGATTTGTACTAGTTAACATATAAATAAATCTAAGAGAAAGCAAAAATAAATATTCATAAATAAGTAAAATCAAATAATGAGTATCACTGGAAAATATTTCCAGGAATAGTCCTTGAGACGTAAGTGTCTGTCATATATGTAAGTTCTGAAATCGGTAGGCAAAAGTTTCAATCTCTTTGGGAGAATGTGTATACAGGAACTTCACAATATATTTCTTTACTTAAGTCATAATCACTCATCACATTAGGAGATCCTAATACTTTGAATATTACACTCTTCTTTTTATCTTTTAAATTGCTCCTGTTGTTGCCAAGAGAATAAAACATTATATAGGAAATATAGTGAAAAAAATTCTGATGAGCACATTTTCAATATGCGGAACAATTCTATAGTATATATATTAGTGCTCTCCCCAAAATATTATCATCATCGAGAGGGGCTTGCTTCTAAAATGGTCACGTATCCATAGCAACTTTATTATCTTGTCCTCTAGCTGGAACTGCAGGAACTTCAGGGCACCCTTTCACATATCCATTAGAATTAACCGGACCAAATTCTGGGTCATAGGGACCGGAATGCCGCCTGGATAGAAGAACAGCAATGGCAGTTGCAACACCTAAGCAACACACGCCAATTCCTAAAATAGCCACATATACAGAGTCCATGTATTTTGGGGATGACTTGGCAATGGGTGGAGCTTCTGTTACATCAGTTGTAGTACTAATACCTGAAGAGAAACGATAAAATAATTCAGTTGTCTGAAGACTTTATTACTAATGTTTATTTCGTCTCTGGAAGTCTGGCGTTAATTATTTCCTGACTTCCAGAAAATTATACTAGGTGCCATAAAAACTTATCACAATTCTATTTTGAAATAATTTTAATTAAAATAGTAAAAATATACATTTTTATCAACTGTTTATTCATTTTTTCCCTACGTGCGTGTGAATATAATATAAAAAAGATCACTTCTAATTTTAGTAACAAATTTAATACATTCATATTTCTTGTAGTGAATTTGTTAATGTTTGTGTTAATGTTTTCATTCATATTTCTTGTGCTGAATTTGTTAATTAGTTTTGTATTGAATTTGTTTGAACTTCTTGTGCTGAATTTGTTATTATTCCCATATAACTTGCTCTCAATTAAAGAATGTTGTCTTTCTGCGGCACAGTGGTAGTCGATTTATATGCAAAGACTTTCCTTCCCCCGCTCCCTTCTTCCAAAGAAATTCTGGAGGAATTAGAGCAGAAGTACAAAACGGCCAATCTGTATGTACCGCTGCTTTTAGAAATAATTCACGAAGAGAGCATTTATTTCAAAATTTAATATCATATGGAGTGATATAGTGCTTTTTTATTGATTTTGCATTTTCTCTACGGCTTAATACCACACGAAACCACTCTACATTTATGGTTAGATTTACAATGTTATCTTCCAAAAATGAAAGCTGTAGTTTAATCTTTCAGTCGATCAGCTATCAACATCAAAATTCCATCCCTATTATTGCTATAGAATAGCTGGTTTTCTTTACATGATAACCCTAGCGATCAACGATTATTGGTTGTTTTACATCATGTGACAAAAAACGGGCTATATTTTCAACGAATTTAGCAACCTTTTTTTTACTGTACATGGATAACGACATCATTGACGAATATAATGCGTGGATTTCCTGATCTGCAATAACGACTATTTTGCTCATTGCAAATTCACTCAAGCCAAAATGAAATTCTGGTAGTATATTTTTATCAAAAAAATATACAGACCTTCCCCTTGCCAAAGCAATCATCGTATAAGATTTGGCGATGTTTGAAATTTGCACATTACAGGTTAGGCTATTAAGTTTATTAATTTTAACGACGAAGCACGACGGCAGCTTTAACAACAGGCTGTTAAAGCACCAAATGCTCCTAGATCAATTTGGATAGACCACACTGGTCAAATATCAAACGAAAACGAACAATAATTTTTTTTATTACACAATAAAAAAATGGCGCACAACAAAATGACAGCTTTTCTTTTCTGACACCTAGCATGTACTATACTTATATAGAATACTTGTATAGAATTTTTAAAAAATTAAGTATACCTGTTAAGCTACTTGGAATAGTTGATGTGGGCACAGTTGGAGAGATTCTTGCATTGCACATGGGCTTATCACAGCAATGAAGTACAGGCCATCCCTTATGGTCAGGTACTGCAGGACGTCTATTTTCGCAAAGGAGAGGAGTCCTGCTGGCAATGCACCCTCTCACGAGAGGATCCGAACCGTCTCTTCGGTCCAGATACTGACTGAAGCACAGGCCAGTAGTGTTACATGTTCGAGTTCCTTCTTCGCGGCAATGTGTCGTCGTACAAGAACACGAAATCATTCGACCTTAAAAAGAAGAAGAGGTATCTTAAAACTCTAAGAGATAATATAAATATTCTTATTTTCACACGCTATTTTAGCAGTTTTAGCGAGATACGTTATTCATATGATGAATGCCCCTTATGATTCTGAATGCACTGCTACATTATGAAAGCATGGTAGTAAAAAAAAAACAGCTATATTGCTATATGAAGAAAATTCTTCAGCATCGTAGCTGAAATGTACTACAAGGTAGAGCTTTATTTTAATTTTTTAGTAAGCTCTCCTTTACTTCCTTATTTCGCATCTACAATTCTCTGCCAGAATGAGTTTTCAGGATCGCGTTTTCTGTAAATGAGGAGGAACCAGTATTTAAGTGGAAGTCTCGGCCACTTCAGTAGAAGAGCTTAGAAGTTCTTCGTAGAGCGTGTTCTGACTTTTGGCCACGTCACTGGTTTAAGCCTAATCTTATTACGTTCGGCCGTATTGTTATGTGCCTGTTAGTATTTGCCAGTGATATTCAACAAGGCCCAACTCCGTTACTTATTTCTGTGCAGTTTTGGCTGATTTTACTTTAGTTAGCATTAGATAAGTTTCTTATTTTCTACCTTAAGTTAAAGTCCAAGTGGAGACTAACCTTTCTTGGACTTGTCTTTTACACGTAATAATTCGCTGCACAGTTCATAAGTATTCCAGCTGCCAAGGACAACTTAGCTAGAACATCATAACTACTTGAGAAATGGGTTTGGATGATTGTAAGTATGCTATGTTGCATAATATTCTTACAATATAACAGTTGATTGTGAGCCAACGTATGTTCCAGTGTAAAAAATATAGATTTTGAGGCTATGAGTGTTTTAAACACGTGACACTTGTTGCTTACTGCAGGACTGTACTAATTGTATAATTAATATACAATTAGTATATTTTGTCTATACTAACTGTATAAACAAAAATTATACAATTTTTACATTTTTACGCAGGCTTTCTACGAGGAAAAGTCAAATAAGTAATTTATTCTCAATCTTATTACAAATCTTTGACGACGGGAAAAATGATCATCTGAAGGTCATCTATTCTCTGAAGACCGATTGTAGTCTAACACTTAAAAATTTCTAAACATTTAATTAAAAAATTAGAAATTTTTAGAAAGTAAAATAAATAACATTATACGCATTTTTAAATTGGTTTTGTATCAATTTCGTAACATGCAACGTCAAAAACATCTTTGATTAATTACAACAAAGCTGGAAATGTTTTTAAAAATTATCAGTTGGATATATAAATGAAATATGTTTTACTTACATCAATTAGGTAACTTGCGGAAGAAAAATATTATAAGGCTTTAAAGTAATGAGAAATGCGTTTATTACTTAGTTTAGTTGATAAAAGACTGATTAAATTTGAAGTATAAATTAGAAACCTTTCCATTTGTCAAATGACAACATATTAAGAATAACGCAATCAGACTTCATCATCCAACCCAAAGAGGAAATAACGACGACGTTCTTAAAGAACTATTTATTTCATGTTCGGAGGGAGCAATATAGAACAGCTTTGGAGAAGATGCAAATACTCAGAGGATGCGGATGTTTTAGGAACGTTTTAGTTTTCCTTCCGCAAGCAAAGCGGGCGCCAGAGCTGAAAGAAAAGCCGAAGGGGTTAGAAGCAGATGATCTCTTCGCGAAAGAAAGCATTTTCTCCAACATCTCGGGATGTCTCTCCGACTCGGCGCCTGCCTGTCGCAGATCATTCAGCCGTACATCATTCGAAACACGCATCCCTTCTCTCCATAAATAAAACGTGAGCCGCGAAATTGTCGATGAACTGTAGGAAACTCGTTTTCGAGATTTGTTTTTGCAGAACCGCATTTCACAAAGCGAGATACGAAAAACAAAAGACATCATTAATCTAAGAACTGAGAAGGGGGTGGAGGAAGATGAGAAGAAGTAACGATTCGACAGCCGAAAGAATATTCTCGAAGACGCAGAGATCACCAGAGTTTGAAGGAAACGGATCTAGCAAAAAAAAAAATAGACATAATAATGAACCGTAATTCATTGGATTAAAAAAAAAAAAAACAACACATTTTTATGTATGCGAAAAGAGAACAAATTAATATTTCTATTCTAAAATAAAAGCAAAAATGAAACAATAATGGATCGTAATTCATTAGAAGACAATCAGCTTTAACGAATATATATATATAAACAGCATACATGAACATGTCTTTTTAATAAATAAATAAGAATGGATCATAATTCCATGGAAAAGAATGCCGATTTTTATCTACTAAGCGAAGTAAAAACCATTGCGCTCGGGGGGGGATGTATGTATTTTAGTCATATTGTTTCAGAAAGCCAATTAGTTAAAACTACTATTCACCATAACAGGCGAAGAAATGAAGCTATTTTCCGGTTAGTTACATTAGTTTCATAATCTCTTAATTCTCAGCTGCTAAGCTGTAACCGTCAATTCTATTCAAAAAACTTCAGTAGTCATCATACGGTATGAGGAAATACTACTGAACTGAATACTACCTTACTGAATATTTGACAGTTTTTTAATTATTTTAATAATTTATAATTTATTAATTTAATTATTAATAATTTATAGTTTATATAATTTTTAATTATTAATAATTTAAATTTATTATAATTTTAATATAATAATTTATAATTTATATAATTTAATTATAATAATTTATCAAATTTAATTATAATAATTTATAATTTAATAATTTTAATTATTAATATTTTAACTATTTTAATAATACTTTCAATTCCTTTATTACTTTTTTAATTCTTTTAATAATTAAGCCCTTTATTTTTCTGGTCTACTTGTAGATGGTGCTTATCAGCCTGTATAAACCTGCCAGTAATTCGCAAGTCCAAATGAAGAGAGCTGTCTTCATAGCAAAGAGCAACGACAATACAATGTAAGCAGTAAAGTTAGCCATGCGGTTAAAGCAGTCTGTTTTGATTGCACAACTAACTAAGCTAAGGGGGCAGTGCATGTGCTGTTCATTTCAGATTTGATTTAAAAAGAGCTGTCTTTTTGTGGGACAACTGTTGCAAACAACACCTGTACTCGTTTGAAAATAGATGCATGGGAATAAACTATTACTATCACATACAAAGAAAATAATACTGTACAATATACAATACAAATGATAACATGAGCACTTAAAAAATATTGTCCAATACCAAAGTACTGGTGCACCAGTACATGTAAAAAAAATATAAAATATGAATGCTTTCAGATTTTATATTACGCCCAGAGGGGCTTTTTTTACGTTTTGCGTGTTACCTTTATTTATTAAATATCATGTTCTTGGCACTTAGATCGTAAAATTCAACTCAACAGCAATATCACAAAATATTTTAAACAGCATATCTTTAGAATTTCCTATAGACAGTCTCGCGCGCTGGAGATAAAAATATTTTTCTCCGTACAGTGTTGCCAATGCCCGCTTTGAAATCGTTGAGTTTGTTGATCAAAAGTTCGTTAAAGTTTTACAAAATATCAACTAGGCAATAAAACAAATTCTGGTTTCCAGGTGCCCATGTTCGGATGTTACTTAAAATTTGATGTGTCTAGGTACCGTTGTTTTTCTTCACAATGCGAGAAACATACATGCATTCATGGAGATACAGTAAGACCCCGCTTAACGCTGTTTCGTTTAGCCCTGTTTCGGTTTCGCGCTCTTTTACTTCAACACGGGGATTCCCCGAAATTGTGCGCAGGGCTAGGTTTCCAAATAACATATCCGAAACAGTGTAGTTGTGTTTCTTGTTTGGTGCGGTGCTGTACGGACCCATTTTTACCATTTGAAACATTTGTTGACATTATTGTAAGTATAAATTTATATAATACATACTATAACGATTAATACAATGACAAATATTATGATCTTTAGTTTTTATCATGGGTGATAATAAAAAACAAGAAGAGAAAGCAACCAGAAAAAGTATTTCACTGGAAACTAAAATGCACGTGATTAGAATATTAGATTATGGTGAAACGTCAATCTCAAATTAGTGCTGCATTGAATTTGGCAACTTCAACTATAGGACAATTCTTAAGCATAAAGAAAAATACTGTCATCGGCAACTGCAACTACGTCAAACTCTGCAACTAGAATTACCGTTCTAGAAATAACATTATAGAGTAATGGAAAAAAAAAACGACTGTCTATATGGATTGACGACGAAATTGAACACAATATGCCATTAAGCCAATCTATCATAATGCCTTCTTGACAAAAAAGCAGAAAATTGGGAACACAGAATAGACTGAATGATCTGACTGACTTAGAATTTTATTTGTTTTCATAAGTATATTCGTTTATACTGTTTTTCATTTTTGCAAGAAATAAATGTTTGGTTTTATTTTTATTAAAAAACATTATTAGATTTAATATCTAACCAATTTTCTATCCATCTTCCCCTAACCCCATTATTTACATGTTAAGATAGCCTCGTTTAGCGCTGTTTCGCATTACGCTCTACTTTGATGGAACGTATCTCCCGCGTTAAGCGGAGTTTTACTGTACTTCATTATTTAGTTTGTTTAAATATAATACAGGGCAATAATATTTGGTGGCAACAGTTTGAAAAGTGATTCAGCGCAAAATGCCGTTTAGAAACTAATAGCCCTCCCTTCTGAATTAATTCTCCTTCGGGTTATCTTTTCTTGGCTTCTGTAGAAATATTTCTCTAAGATAAGAAGTTTATGCAAAGGTAAGTTACGCACAAGCAAAACAAAATGTGGCCGTTCCTTAATTCCACATTATACTGCAACAGAATCATAGCTAAAATCCCTGATTTCTGACAGAAGCGATCAGGATTAAGTGAAGTTATTCGGGAGATGCTCGATTCAGGAGATTCTCGTGCCAGCGATTTCATCCAGGGAGTAAGTCATAGTAAACATTTAGTACCTAATGAAAATTAGACCAGGCGTTTTTAGTGTGTTTGAGACATTGAATTCGTAGACTAGAAAGGCAATCAACTTATTGCTAAACGTAGTTCCGCTAAATAGCGCAATCTTGTTTGGTGTGTTATTTTTAGATGTGCTGTAATAAGGTATTTTCTTCCACCTTTCTGCATGCCTTCATTGAGTGGAAGCATACTCGACGCGTATTCCAGAGGTCCAGGGTTCGAGATCCGGCGAGGACACTGCATATTTTTCCTGTCTCCTGCTTCAAAAAACTTAATGACTCTACAGTGACGCCCGAGCTAAAATGGTAGTGGACAATAATTGTCACCACTAATTTTGGTATTGGGTTCTCTAATCTCCAGGCGCCCGTTAAAAGGAGGTGTATATAAGGTATTTTCTCCTTCCTTTTCCCATGCCTTCGTGATATAATTGGAAGCTTCCTCGTATTTCAGAGGTCCAGAGTTCGAGTCCTGCAAGGGCACTGCACATTTTTCACGTCTCCTGCTTCGAAAAAATCCTAATAACTTTGTAGAGACATTAGGTATTTTTTGGAAGCAAAAGAAGTGAAAAATGGGCAACGCTTTCGCCGGGAATTAAACCCCGGATCTGAATACGTGCCCAGCATGCAGACCACTACACCACGAAATCACGCTAAGAAGGCGGAAGAAATACCTTATGTACTCCCCCTTTTAAAGGGCGACTCGGGTTTTTTAGGAGACCCAATCGCCAAATCTTGGGTGTGAAGAATCATCAGCCATAACCCTTTTAGTTCGGGCGTCTCTTGTAGAGACATTAGGTATTTTTTGTAAGCAGGAGTAGTGAAAAATGAGCAACGCCTTCGCCGGAAATTGAATCACGGACCCCTGGAATACGCACCCAGCACGCAGACCACTACACCACGAAGGCACGCTAAGAAGGCGAGAGAAATACCTTATAACTTTACACTGCAAGCTGTGGAATTAATAAAAATGTCTGTTAATTTGACATTTACTAACCAGAAATCCTGATATCCCCCCCCGAGAAAGAGAATAACTCAAAGACAATTAGCGTAGCTCATATTTGTCATAATGTCTCAAACAAATAATAAAAGATAAAAACTAGTTGCAGCTTCAGAGTATGAAATGAAACTACTAATGTTGGCTGCTAAACAGGAAAGCGTGATTGAGCTTAAAACTGATCAACCATAAAATGAATGTGAAACTGCTAAACTATGATGTTAAATGATACTGCAAAAGACTATTCTTATCTACTTCAAAACACGCATAAAAATAACTGAAAGAGAAAATTCTAAAATTGTATATTTGTTGATAATTAATTACATTACCTTCTATCATATTTTCAACGCAAAAGAACTCGCGGGAAGCTAAAAAAGCATTTAGCGTTATAAAAATCACCGCTACCTAAACTAACATAATCTGAAACAGACAGTCTCATTTTTGCAACATTCTGCTGGGTATGAATATCTGAGATGCAAGTCTCTTCATTGTCTGTCGCCATATTTCAACAATAATAGAATTGTGCTGCTCAGTATTTCAATTCTGAAGATTAGAATCAAGGTCTTTTAGTATAGACACATTGAAAACTACAGAGTCTAATCTAGACACATAAGCAACAAATCCTTAAAAAAATGCCGAATGTCAAGCAATAAAAAACTATTGTTTTTCTAAGCAATTAAAGAAAATATCGAATGATACCCATGATCGGCGTCTAATGAG